CGCTCACCTCCCCTGCAGCCGCCCGAGCTGCTTGATCCACGCCCGGTCGGAGCGCGGCGAGCCGGCCTCACCCGACATGGCAGCGCCCTCGAGCTCTGCAAGCGCGCCCCAGCCGCTGGCGGGGCCCCGCCCAGGCGCGCCGCGCGCGCTGGGCCGGTCCTCCAGCCGGGCGACGCGCGCCTCGAGCTCCGCCAGAGCGCCGCGCCAGCGCGCCTCCGCGCCCGCGCGCGCCCGCCCGCCCGCCGCCTCCGCGTCGCGCAGGTGGCACACGGGCAAAGAGCCAGGAGGACTGCACGGGCATAAACTTTCGGAGGCCCGCGCGGACACAGGTGTCCGACGAGCTGTGTTGTCGATGCAGGAGCGCTTCCCAGAATTCGGCCTCGGAGGCCCGTTTTTGGGCCCCGGGGCATTCAGGAATGGGCTTGGCAACCACGCCCGGGGAAGGGGTTGTGACCTCTGGGGCCGCGTATGGGAAAAATCACATCGTCGGATGTCTGGGGAGTTGGAGGCACGCGCGGTGCGCGCCAGCGCTGGCCGGCGCTGGCGCGCTCCGCGGTATAGCGCGCCCGAGCCAGCACAACAAGAAGGCCTGCACTGGCGCGGGGGCGGCGCCGAAAAGGCGCCGCCAGGGGCGCTGCTATGGGGGTGTGTCCAGCGCACGGCGCCGACTCAAGAATCGGGCGCACGTTAACATGGATAACGGATCCGTGGATCCAGCGTGTAGGTGCCAGTTCCACGTACCAGGGAAAGTCTCCCCTCGAAGCATGAGGCCATGTCGCCTGATTTGGCGACGGAGTTCGTTGAGATAGCACGGAAGCGAGACCTGCCGCTACGGCTGCATCGAGGACAGAGAACATCCTTCAAGAACATGAGACCCTCCGTCGGCCAAACTGAAGAAGATTCGAGGGTACCCTCCCCCAGGATGCACAAGAAATTTCAACGAACACGAAGAACATTAGGCCCTCCCCGAACCGACCTCGACCTTATACCTCGGTCCGACCGTGCTCAACGCGCCTCAATCCTGAATCCATGTTTGCGCTTCCTCGACAGAGATCCGCACTTACTTGCGAAAGTCTTTGATCGTGCCAGCTCTCGGTTCTCTGCATGAGCCGCTTCATCTGCGAGCGCAGCGCTTCCACGCGGATCGCCACGACGTCCACCACGGCCGCCGCGGAGTCCACCGAGGCAACGCCGCCGCCCACGGGCCGCGGCGGGCAGGGCGCGGCGGCGGCACAATGGTCGGGCGGCGGCGGCGCAGCGGTCGGTGCGCCCACCTCGGGCTCGCCCGACGAGCCGCCGGGCGGCAGGCCTCCCAAGTGGGGGCCAAGCGCAGCTGCGCTTGGCAGCCCCGCCAGAGGGTCCCTGTGGTGCCCCTGCCCCGCGGGCGCGCCTGCGAGGGCGCCCCGCCGCGGGGCGGCTGGCGCCGAGTCGGCGGCGGCGCCAAGCTCCCCGCCGAAGTTGGCGCGTGGCTGCTGGCCGTGGGCAGGCGCCGGTTCGTGCGAGGCACCCTGCGGCCACCTGCGCTCCAGCTCGCCCCGCAGCGCCGCGACCTGCTCGCCGAGCCGGGCCTCCGCGCACGCGCAGGAGCTCCGCGCCTCCAGCAGGGACGCCTCCGCAGAGGCACGGGCGCCCTCCGCCGCCCGCGCCTGCTGGTCCAGGCTGTCGAGCCGGAGGTCCACCGCCCGCAGCCGCCGCAGCACCTCCTCCATCGCAGCGGCAGCCGCGGGCCCGAGGCCGCCCGGCGCGCCGGCGGCCTCCGCGGCCCTGCGGGGCTCGGCGGCCTGCGCGGCTCCGCACACGGCGCCCCCGCAGTCCCACGGCGGCGCGGGCGCCGCGCCGCCCGCGCCGCCGCCCCCTGCGGCCTCGCCGCTGCCGTGCTCGGCGGTTGGCGCGCGCCAGTCGAGGCCGTCTCCCTGGCGGCCGCCCCGGTCCTCCACCACGAGGGCCATCTCGGCCAGCACCTTGCAGGAGATCGGGGACTCGGCCAGGCGGGGCGGCGAGGCGGGCGGGACGCCGTCGCGCCCGCACCCTCCCACGGGCGAGGTGGCCGCGAGGTCCCCGCGGGGCGAGGCGAGGGGCGCCGCGTCGCCGCGCGGAGGCCCTGCGGGCTGCCGCCGAGCGAGGCTGCCCGGCGCCAGCACGTCCGCACCCGTGGCCTCGGCCGCCCTCGAGATCTCCTCCTCCCGCGGAGTGTGCGGCAACACCTGAGGCAGCTCCTGCCGCAAGTGCCGCAGCGCCACCTGGGTCGGCGCCCGCCGCCCGTCGTCCCACATCACGCGGCAGACGCCGGCCTCGCCGTCGACATCGACGAGCACGCCGCGGTCCCCCTCGCGAAAGCTGTCGAACTGCCGGCCGCGGACGACGCACACCCGGGCGCCCGGGTGCAGCGCCGCCCGCATCTCCGCGCCGCGCCGCCGCGCAAGCATCGCGCACGCGGGTGCCTCGCGGCTTGGGAACCTGGCAAGGAACCTTAAGCCAAAACGGCCACGGAGGCGAAGGGAGGCCCTCCCCTCCGACGTCGCATGTCTTTCGCGAGAAATCTGGAATCTAGGGTCAGCTTTTCATTATGAGTAGACGCCCCTCCTGTGTGTTGGGTGCTCGCTTAGAATTCGCAGCGCCCCGCGTCATCTCGTATGCCCTTTCTCCTCCTCTTCCTCCTTTCTGCGTTGCTCGGACTTTGGCAAAACGGAGCGCCGCACCTCTGAAACAAAGACAACAATTTAGGCGGCATGGCCTGGAACTGCAACAGCACACGGCAACACGTAGAGTAGCAGGAAAGGCGGTGCGGACAGGCGGAAGAAATTAGCCGGCAAGAGCGCAGAATATACCGACGTGCCGGATTTAGACGGAAAGAGACAAACACGTCGAAACCATATGATACCTCACCTTCAACGTTGCACAGGCTCTGATCGTCACGGCGCGGCGCGCCGGTGCCTCAGCCGCGACGGCCCCGCTGTGCCGTGACAGCCCCTCTGCTGGCGGAAGCCGTGACGGTATCGTGCCACTGGCAGCACCCGAGAAGGGCGAGGTCAAGGGCGCAGCAGGAGTGGGGACAACTGCTCGCCCGGCAGTGCTCGGGTTTGGCTTTGCCAAGTGGGGCGGCGATAAGTGTTGGGGGGAGCGCGAGAAGCCTGCATCCTGGCAAGCAGCACCTGGGCTATGATCGGATGATGATCGCGGCGTCTGGCTCAATTAAGAACCGACTCAAACGATGCAGCCTAGACAAGACATGCCCGCCGCAAGTGAGACGACGGACGAAGAGAACGCATGCAGTAGTTAGTGTACTTAAGCCCGCGAGGGTGGGCGCGCACCAATTCGAGATGAGAAGAGGCACTCACGACTCCTCTGCTCTCCGCATCCTCCTCCCCTCGTTGCCTCTGCGTAGCCCCATAGGGTGGAGCTCCACCGAAGGCCCCAGAGGCAGCAGTCGCATACCGCCGCGTAGCCCAATTCGGCACACCCCTCGTACGTTTCGCTGGCCCATTGGGAAGTCAAGCGAGGGGCCCAGTGACAGCGGTTGCATGCCGCCGCACCCATGTCAGCACAAGCCTCACACGTTCCGTGGCCCCACAGGGATCTCCACCGAGAGCCCCAGTGGAAGCGGTTGCATGCCGCCGCGCCCATTTCGGCGCACCTCTCACACGTTCCGTGCCCCACATGTGGAGCTCCGCTGAGGGCCCCAGTGGTGGCAGCGGTCGCGTGCCGCTGCGCCCACGTCGGCACACCCTTTACACGTTTGGTGGTCGCGTAGGGAGCTCCTCCGAGGGCTTCAGTGGTGGCAGCGGTCGAATGGGGGTCGATGCCTTCCTCCCTGAGCCTATCCCCCCCTGACGTAGCCCGTGAGACGAAGAGTTCCGAGGAGGCTCAGGAATAGGCGAAAGACGAGCAGCCAAAATCATCTCCACAGGCATCCAACGAATTGCAACGAAATGCTCTCTGAATCCGCCACCCCGCCGTGTCTCGGTCCCATCCTGAAGGCAGAACTACGCCACATATGACTGGTTGATGGTCGCCGGGCCCGAGGACGGCCCCCAGAAGCCGAAACTGAGGAGGGCGCCGATGGGATTGAACACAACCGCTCTTCCGCAAGTCGTCGGGGAACGAATCAAGATATAAACATCAACGTTCCGAGGTCCGCGCGAACTTTTTGGATCTGCGCTGAACCCCCCTGGCGGCGCCTCCGGCGCCGCACCTTTGCGCGCTCCGCGCGCCTGGGAGGGTTGTCCAGCGCCGATCCGAGAATCCGCGTGGACCTCCAAAAGTTGATGCTTGTGTCATCGCTTGTTCCTCGAAGCCTGGGTTCGAGCCTCGGTCGCCGTCGGCCGTCGCAGGCGGCGCTCCTCGTCGATCTCGTCGCCGAGGCCGCCTCCGCTGCCGCCGCCGCCTGTCCTCGTCGGTCGTCGTCACTGCCTCGTGTGCCGCCGCCCTCCGGAGGTGACAGCGTTGTTATCGTCGTGGTCGCTGTCGCCAGACGAAGCAAAAGGACCGGGACAAAATACAGATTAGGGGGATCTGTGAAATCTGGCGGCCGGGCGCCGGGCCTGCTCTAGAGCACTCCAGAACGCTCTGAGAGAACCTTCTCGAGCCCTGAGATCCCACGTTGCGAGCAAAAATGCAACATCACGAACAATCGCGAGATGAGCCCTGGACCTTCTCTCTTTCTGCGTTATTGTTCGAGCCAGATCGGTCTGTGATGATTCCGCTGGACCCGAAACTGGGCAAGAGAACCTGGTGTGGAACAACTGCAACGCCTGGATCTCAGGGGAGCAACTATCCTGATCCATTGCCCGCCCAGTCGCTCTCGCCTCCGTCGTCGCCGACTTCGCTGGCAGCGCTCCCCTTCGCCGCCGTCGGTCCTCGCCGGTCGTTCTGCTTTCCTCGGCTGTCGCCGCCCTCTGGGGGCGACAGCGTCGAAGTCGTCGTCGCCCTTGCCGTCGTCATCGTCGCCGTCGCCGCCGCCGTCGCCGTCGTCGTCGCCGCCGGCGTCGCTGGCGGCGCTCCCCGGGGGCTCGGCAGGCTCGTCGCCGAGGCTCGCCAGCAGCGCGCCGGCGGAGAAGAGGCGCCCGCCCGGGGCCGAGAAGTGGCGGCAGAACCTGGCGCTGCGTCGCGCGGCCGCCGCCGCAGGGCGACGTTGCCGCCACCGCTGTCCCTGAAGTCCTGGCATCGCACCTTCTTGCGCGCGCGGTGGCTCCGCCCCGCTTCGGGACCGCGGATCGATCCAGCTCGACAGATGCAGCAGAGAGGGGGGGTCCAAGGTCCTGGCTGCAGTTGTCCACGATGCTGCAGCTTTTCCGAGACAGCGGGTGTCAGGGGGTCGCCGTCGACAGCGCCGTCGGCGGCGGCGGCGGCGCTCCCAATGGGCGACCTGCGCGCCCCGTGCCGCGCCCCATGCGCGCCCGAGGCCCGCGGCCTCGGCGGCGGCGGTCGAGGGCCGCGGCGGATAGCAAGGCGGCGGAGCGGCGGCCGTCGGCGGCAGAGCCTCGGCGCCGGCGGCGGCGGCGCGTTCAGTGGGAAAGCGCGGTGCTCCTTCCTCCCTCCATCCCTCTCCCCAATGGCTGGCTCATCCCTGCCGCACTCCCAAACGTGTCGGTGGAGCGGGCCTGGCGTGTCCCCGGAGACTTCTTCATTCTGCCCCAAGGGAGAGGAGTGGCGCTACAACAGCACCGGCATCCCACACGTCGGGGCCCTGCAGGCAGGAAATACAGGAGACGGTGCAGTCGGGCCAATGGCGCCAGGCGGCCGAGCTCCCAGGAGGAGCGGGACTGGAAGCAGGAGGCGACCTCTACCAGCTGGGGAGCACACGCGACGGCGACGGCACAAAGGGCAACATGCGGAGGCCGCAATGCTGGAGACGATCGCGATTGGAGACATTTGGACCCGTGCACGAAAAGCCGCAGCAAAGCTCCTCAGCCCCGAAGAAGCCCTGCGCCCGAGATGCAGGGAAGAGTCTGAGACAGCCCTCCACCGCTACTACGCCTGCGAGGCCAACGAAGAGCTCGACCTCAGCAACGACACCGAGCTGGCCAAGAAAGCCAGGACAGCCCTACAGGAAGGTCAGATGGAGCATTTCTGGATCAGAGGCATCCCACCAGCAGCTTGGAGCACAGCGGTGGACCACCAGGTGGACGAGGCGAACGCCAGGAACATCCACTGCACCAACGAGCTGGCGCAAAGGGCAGTGCTTCTTGGCGAAAGGGTCCAGGCGGACTCCGTTTTTGTGGACGGCTCAGGAGGCAGTGCTACCACAGCCCGAGACCCACGCCTGCGAAGATGCGGATGGGCAGTGATCGCCATGATCAGACCACAACAAACAACCACAAGAAGCCGCCACGTGGTATGGAACAATACGCCCCACACACCACGCCAAGAGCGGAGCTCACGGCCATCGCCAAGGCGCTGCAGTTCACCGCGAATGGCGGCCATGGGCCATCCATGAGCATCGTGAGCGACTGCAAGTATGCGTTGGATGTGTTGCAGCAGCTCCACGACCCCGAGCACCAGGATTACCAGTCCACCAACTACGACCTCTGGCTTCAGGCGCACGACCAAGTATGGCGCAGAAGTGACCTGGTGATCGGCCACCACATCCCAAGCCACCTGGTAGAGCACCCTGGGGAGCTAGCCAAGTGGCAGGGACCCACCTAGTGGGTCATAGGCAACGAACTTGCCGACCGCTACGCCAGCTGGGGAGCAGAGAGTGGCAGCCTAAATCAGCAGACCATCGCGGGCCAGCAGATCCGAGACCAGGTCACCATTGCGGTGCTGAACAGGCTGGTCAGCATCAGCACGGCAGTGGCGAAGCTCGACCCTCCGCCAGCGGGCGCCAGGAAACGCAAGCCCAAAGCCAAGGCACGCACTATGGACCAGATCGGAGCAGAGCTGCGCCACAGGCTATGCCAATTGCACCCCAGGCGGTGGTGCCTCAACTGCCGCAGCGGCTCATGCGAAAGACAGGCGATCAGAGATTGGCTTAACAAGACAAGGTCATGCAGAGGAGCGCTGGAGCTGACCATCGACGAGCAGGGGCACCAGAGAGTACCAATCAAGAACCTCAACATCGGCACGCGCCAGGTCAACGAGTCACACGACATCATGTACCTCCGAGGATGGCTGGGGTGCGCCACGTGCGGCGCCACCAGCCACCTAGGGCGAGTGTCGGGCCGCATAGTCGCAAGGGCTACGAGGAAACTCGCGGAGCCGTGCCGCCCGCCCACGACAGCAGGCCAGCAGGTCATCAACAGGATGACGAAAGAGCTCCCGCCAATGTCGGGCAAGCACTTCGAGGCCGCGGATGCCATGCGCCAGATCGAGGAGCCAGCCGAGACTGAATTCAGGGTCGCCATGGGGACCAGCAACGAGAAGGTCATCGACCTTGACGCGGACAGCGAGCCGGACCAGAGCCCAGGCCAAGTACCGCACACACCACCCGAACGAACTGAACACCAAACAGATGCCATACGGGGCAGCCGTGCGCTGGCCACTACCGTGCAGGCGTATGCGGCCCAATGGATCTTCATGCTGGAGGGCCAGGTGTGGGAAGATGCGAGGGACTGGCTGGAATGGTGTGTGCCATACATGGCCGCGGCCATACGGTATCCTGACTTCTCAGACATGTTCCCAGACGTACATGACGGCCGACTTCCACCAGAAGTGCGACTGTGGCCGCAGAGGGCATGGGACCTCTGCTGGGACGCCTGGGAGGCCACACGAGGCGAACGAGATCGACCCAGTGAGGCACTAAGGAGGCTTTCCCAAGCGGAATGGCTCAGAGCCCACGCCGTCCACATGGGGCACATGGAACAGTGGCGCCAGGACATGAAAGATCACAACCAACCCAGCGAGGGACGCCGCCCCCTGCCCACTGCAGCGCCGCCGAGGAGACCAGAGGAGGTGTTCGAGCCTGAGGTGATCCAGCATGGTGACTACCAGAGGATACATACAGACCTGGAGGAGAACGAGATCACAGAGCTGCTGCAGCTGTACGCCGAGTCGCTCAGGGAGCCAGTCAGCCTGGCGTTCAAGAACTACCATAATGACATCGCCAATGGCGCGCTGCGCCAGGAGGAGGAGTACCTCGAGGCCGAGGCCGCTCAGGCCCAGCACCAGACGTGGCAGCAGCGCATGGCTCAGCTAACGCGGCTGCATGACCTCGCGCGGCATTGGCATGCAGACCAGGAAGACGAGGGGTGACGTAAGTGGCGCAATTGAGCGCTACCGCAGACGCTCCAGCGTACCCAACATGGAGACATGGCACCCCCCTGCAGCGAGTACAGAGGCCCAGTTCGACTCCATGCACACCGAGCGCTCGCGGACACGATCGTCAAGCAGACCTGGACGAGCACGGCTGAAATGCGACGACATCGGCGGGCACATGTGGCAGCAGACTACCGCCAGAGGGAACGAACACTGGTGGAGCAACAGCTGGGAGGTACGGACTGCGCGCAGCTAGCGTACAGGGAGCCCAGCACCGAAAGAGCTCAAGCACTCGCCCAGCGGTATGAGAACGAGACGTAGCGTACCAGTGCTAGCACAATGCCTGGGGTGCCCACTGAATCCCATGGCAAGACACGTCGCCACGAGCTGGACAAAGGTAGTTCTAGCACAGCGCCTGGGCCGAGGTGCCCACCGGGCCCCATGGCACGTCACGTCGCCACGAGCTGGATAAGGGGAGTGCTAGCACGGGGACTGGGGTGCCCACTGAGCCCCAGTCCCCTCGTTGTCGCCACGACACCAGCAACGTCGAGGACAAAGTGGCCTAGCTCCTGGAAGCAGCGCGGCGTGGTACCAAGAGAGCCACAGACCCGAACGTACTGGCAGCCGAGCGCGCGCTGGAACATGTGCTAGAAAGGCTGGAACAACTCGCGGCACTGTTCATGAACAAATGCAGAACCCCACTGGATGGAGCGGCGTACTTACTACATGGCGCAGATGCCGATGGGCGGGCAACGCTCAACTTTCTATGAGGGATTGTCCGTCAGAATGGCCGATGAAGAGCGATGGAAGGGGGGCAGCGGAGATCTGCAGCTCAGCTTGGCAAGGAACCCAGGCGCGCAGGACCGAGCGCTGGACGCAGACCGCCAGCCTCGAAGGCCAGGAGTACCAGCACGGAAAGGTGATGCTCCAGGCCTATGAGGAAGTGGCCGAGTGTTTCCGCCGCGGCGTCGGCCACCAGGACACCCAGAGCCCAATGTGCCCAATGGAGGTGCTGGATGAAGCGGCGCGGTCCCTGGCCAGAGCGAGGTCACGCAGCCCACGCCGCCAAGTCACAGCTGCGGAGGGCCCTGGAACCACAGCAGCAGCCAGTGGCACAGCAGCTGCCCCAGGGGATGCAGAGCAGCACAGGCAGCCCCAGGACGATGAGGTGATCGACGAGCCCGACATGGCGGAGGCAGAGCCGCATGAAAGCCAGGAGTCCTCCCCGTCCTCCAGCGAGAGCCCCACAGGCGACCGCTCTCGAGCGCGAAAGATACCCGTACCCTTACCTAGACAGGGTGGCAAGGGGCCGGGGGGGCGGTTCGTCGAAGCTGACGGCTGCACAAGTGTAGAAACGAGAGCCGATCGAGCATTACAGACCGCTGTCTTCTCGGGGCGCACGTTAGCACCGATCGCACGTGCGTTCGAATCGGCGGAGTGCCCGACCCTGCGTTGGTTGTTGTCGATGTAGACCAGTTATTACGGAGGCGCGCCCCCAGACACACATCCGGGCGTTGAGGAGTCAACGCGCACTCGGGGGCGCATGCGAACAACTCTGGCGCGAACGTCATTGCGCGACAACCGCCTTATCGCGACTTGCTCGATGCAGAGACATCGCGAATCTGTGCCCTGGGCGAGGTCGCCAGAGGCCGCCCCTCTTGGACGGCCGTCTGCGGATCACCCCAGCTAGGTACGGTTGCCCCATGAAAACCCAAAAACATACCCGTACCTAGCCGGGGTGCCGCAGCTCACCCCAGCTAGGTCCGGGTATGTTTCGGTGGTTTCAGGCAGGTCCCCGTACCTAGCCGAGGTGGCGGCAGGCCCAAAAGGCTCTCGAGCACATATCATGCCCTCCAGAGCCGTCCCCGACGTGGCCGCTGCGGCCCCCCTGGGGGCGCGACAATGCAACGTCGTTCCTCAGGGCAGGCCCAGACGCATTGGTTGCCAGGATAGCGAGGAAATGCGACTCTTTATCGATTGGGACAGGCGCCGCCACATATGGGCGGCTTTGAACCGCGCAAGCACCACGATGCCCCGAGACGTCCCTAACAAAAACCAGCCCTTGTCGCTGCAATCAGACACCCAACCATCGAGCGCGCCGTTGCGTCTTGACGCGCGGATGCTGCACTGGCGCGCGCGGGGCAAGCTGACCGGGCACAATAGCAAGCGCCCAGTCCCCCGGACGGCCCATCTCACCTTGGCTGGCCCCGGGTACGGGTATCTTTCGGACCAATGAACCGCTGGACGAGCCCCAGCAGCCAAGGCCGCAGGAGGACACAGCCAAGCAGCGCAGACATGGAGCAACATTTCCGCAGCCCGCCCGGCCAGGTGCAGGACGGAGGCGCGGCCACCCCCGAGCCAGCTGAGGAGTCGCCTGGCCCGCTGCACCCTCCAGCCGAGGAGGAAGGCAGCCGCCCCCCCCCGCGAGGGCGGCCCTGCAGCGCCAGCCCCCGCAGGCCTGGCTGAGCAGGCACGCCGCCCTCCAGCGCGCCTCCCAAGTGGAGCGACGGTCGCTGCGGAGGGAGCGGAGGGCGGGGCGGCAGCGGCGGCAGGAGATGGCGACGAAACCAGCGGCCAGCTGGCAGCGAGCGGCAGCAGCGGTGGGGCCGCCGAGGCTGGCGCGGTGCAGCCCAGCCCAGGCAGGAGCCCAGAGGAGCTGGCAGAGGCGAGGGCCCGCGAGCGGCGCGGCCCGTCGATCAGGCTGCTGCTGGGGCCGAGGCCGTGACGCGGGCGTGGGCGAACGAGCTCGTGCCAGAACCCAACAGTAGCCGTGCGCCGTCAGCCTGCAGGCCAGCTGGCCCTGGCGCCGAGGCGCTGGGCTCGACGTGGGCGCCTGAGGGCCCCGCTGCGACTGGCGCTGACGGTACGCTCCGAACGTCATTCTGTAAACTCCTCCTCCTCCTCCTCCTCCTCCTCCTCCTCCTCCTCCTCCTCCTCTCTGTCTCCTCCTCCTCCCCCACCTGCCGCTTCCCCCTCCGCATCATGTCTTCCTCCTCTCCTCGCTCCTCCTCCTCCTCCTCCTCCTCCTCCTCCTCCTCCTCCTCCTCCTCCTCCCTCTTCCTGTTCCTTCCTCGTCGTCCTCATCCTCTCCTGTTGCTCCTTTGCGCTATCAAGATTATACGAGTATACTTAGTATAGTTGGTATTAACATTCTTATGACTTTCATGATTATCATTGATATTATTCTTTAGTAGTAATATGGCTCGCAGTGTTATTAGTATCCTGCATTCACAAGCGTCCAAATCCTACTAGTGATAATATTAGTATTGACATTCGAACTCGTATTAACAATCCGAATAAGGAGTATGATTGGTCTGGTAGGAGAATGCTTACTACTGTCATTCGTAATACTAATGCTGTTATCCCAAATGATATATATATGACAATAATAGTTTAGTAGTATCAATAGTGTAAGTCTGATTATTCCTCCTCTCCTCCTCCTCCTCCTCCTCCTCCTCCTGCCTTCTCCTCCTACCTCTTTCCTTCCTCCTCCTCATCATTCTTCCTCCTTTTTCCGCCTCCTCCTCTTCTTTCTCTCTCCTCCTCCTCCTCCTCCTCCTCCTCCTCCTCCTCCTCTTCCTCCTCCTCCTCCTCCTCCTCCTCCCTCCTTCTCCTCCTCCTCCTCCTCCTCTTCCTCCTCCGCCTCCCCTCCTCGCCGCGGAGCTGCTCCTTCCCCCCGCCCTGCCCTTGCTACCCGCTCCGCAGAAGGCACCTGCACAACGCTGCACTGCCTGGTCGGGGCCGTCCGGGGCCCAAGGGTGGTGGTGTGCACCCAGGTTCCGACGTCGCGATTTTATTCGCAACGCTCGGCTGCACGCAGGAGTTCGGCGGCGAGCGATGGGGGGATGCGAGAAGGAGAAGGCCCTCTCAGAAGGCAACGGGGCTTCTCAGAAGAGCCCTCGCGCCTTCTTTGGAATTTCCGTGTTTTCGGGGAAAGCTGAGAAAACTTTTCGGAAGGCAAGGGGGCTTCTGAGCCATCTGAGAAGGCCCGCCCCTTCTCACTTCCCCCCCACGCTCGCCGCCGACAAACCCTGACGTCGTGTTTTTGTTTACAGCGGCCGGCTTCAAGGGGCCGCGGGTAGGCCAGATCCAAACGCACCAGCCAATGCTGGGGGGACACCTGCTGGCCCGCACCGGAGGTCACTCCGGCGAAGGGCCACCCCTACGCGTAGCCAGAACGTGGGCCCTCGGAGGTCCCGACACACTCCCTGGGACGGGCTTTGCGTTCTGAGCTGTTTCCTGACGGTCCAGTTGCCCCGGTGAGGACCCCCAGACACCCGCCGCCGTGTTTCTCTCACGACGCGAGGGCCCAGATCTCCGCTGCTGTGACTTGGTCAATCCGCGGACTGCCCAGGGGTAGTTTTGCGTCCTGGACCTGTTTTTGATAGTCCTGAGGCCAATGAACGGGCCCCAAGGGCCGAAATCGAGGTAAAACGTCAGGACAGGAAAAAAAATAGTAAAACGCCAGGACTGTAAATCGTCCGAGACCTCGGGCCTCTGGCGGCCGCTCGGGGCGATCCTGGCGTCCACAGAGCGCCCACGGCGAGGCAGCTGCTGGAGAGCATCTCGGGGCGAGAAGACCTCCAGGAACCAGCGAGAACCTCCAGTGGGAGGTGGACCCAGACATGCGATGTCCTGATCTTTCATGACAAAAGGCCCGATGGAAGTCCCGACCCATTCCCCAGGACCGGTGTTGCACCCTGAATGAACTGTTTGTGACTTTCCCGAGAACTGGCGAGGGTACCCTGGCGAGGGCCCCAGAAGCCGAAAACCACGAAAAACCTCCGCCCTGATGTTTGTCAAGACGCGAGCGTGTCTGGGGAGGGGGGGGTCTGGGGGTGTGCAGGTGCCTTGCTGCGTGCGCCCCCGGGGGCGCGGAGGGAACTCGCGGCAGAGGGCGGTCTTGCCGATGCCCGGCTCGCCCCACAGCACCGCCGCCCTCCTGCCCTGCAGCACGTGGGCGAGGGTGTGGGTATCGCCTCTGGGGCTCTGCCGCGGCGGTGCGGAGAAGGAGGACGAATGACAAGAGGAAGCGGAGGCCCCTGAAGTCCAGGCGTCTCAACTTTTCCGAGCCAGGCGTCTTCGCCGGCGGATTGATCGTGCTCGATAAATTCAGCAGACAGAGATGGGGTCTAGGGCTCTGGTCGAGATTCTGTGCGATGTTTCTTTTTTGGTCGCGACGTCGGACCTCAGGGGGAAGATAGGGGAAAAACAATGGCATAAACTTAACAAGTCGGAGGTCCGCGCGGATTCCTCGGATCGGCGCTGGGGGCTCCTGGCGGAAAATCCGCACTGACCTCTGAATCCACATGTTCAGTTATCTAATTGTCTGCCTCCTGGGAGCTGGGGGGTCTGCGTAAGAACGACTGGGAAGGCTAGTGGGCCCGATCAAAAAGCCTCTGAGCAATCTTAGCCCAGAGTAAGCCCAGAACTAAGCCGGACCAATGGGGGGACTATAAGCGGGACTCAGAGGAACTATGCTGGATGAGACTGATTTCGTCCACGGATATGCTAGCGCCGCTGTTGCACTTGACCCCCAGGAGTCGCATCCTAATAAGAATGAGGACAAACAAACAATAGGGAGAAGAGGAAGAGGATGCCCAAGCCCCCTCGCGCCGAGACAAAAATACGGCGGAAGGTTTAGGGGATGTTTCTGCCTTTGGGAGGCCTCGCCCAGGCCCAGGGGGTGCAAAAAGAGCTAACGATGAAAAACAGGTGCTTGGGAGTGTGTCGAGACGTTTAGGGGCCTCGTTGAGAAGATCATGGCGTCGGAGCGTCTGGGGATCAGATGGAAGAGAGGAGGGAGAGAAGAAGAATGATGCTGCTGATGATTGCGACGATGCTGCTGCTGATGATGGCGATGATGGTTCGGATTCGGGCGCCCGTTCGGGCAAAACCTGCCCACGCAACGTTGCATCCCCGGCAACGGAATATTTGTTCTCGATCCTCTCGTTCATGGAGTAAAGAAGAAACCTCCAGAGATCTCAGAAAGTAGTTGAACGGTCCCAGAGGCAACCGGAGGTCCAACAGTGGCAACCAGTGGTGAAACACATCGGCCCTATATGTTCTCTGCAAAAACTCCCTCGGATGGGTGGGCAAGAGAAGGGGTCCACGGGGAGAAAGGAGTGGACCCTCTCCGACCTCGGTTCCTCCAACTCCTCCTCTTCCTCCTCCTCCTCCTCCTTCTCCTCCTCCTCCTCCTCCTCCTCCTCCTCCGCTTCCTCCTCCTCCTCCTCCTTCTCCCATCCTCTTCTTTCGGCCACCCCCTCCTGCCTCCTCCTCCTCCTCCTCCTCCTTGCGCTCCCACCCCATCCTCTCCTTCTCCCTCCTCTCCCTCCTTAGTATGTTTCTCCTTACTCCCGTGTCCTCCTCCTGCTCCCCACAGTGCCTCCTTCTCCCTCCCCCTCCTTCTCATCTTCCCTCCTTCCCTTCCTCTCCTACCTGTCCTCCCCTCCCTCTCCATCCTCCTGGATCCTCTTGCTTCTCGACCTCCCATGCCTCCCCGTCCTCCTCACCCTCCTCCCTTCTTTCCCAGTTCCTCTACTCCTCCATCTCCTGATCCTTTTGCTCCTGCCCCCCCTCCCCGCACCCGTCTGCTGCTGCTGCTGTCCCTCCTCCCTCTCCTGACTCCTGCTCGCCGCCTCACCCTCCGCCTCCTGGTTCTCCTCTTCCTCCCCTCACCCTCCTGCCCCTTGTCTTCCTTCGCCGGCTCGCACCCCGACCTCCTGCCATTCTATTATGACCCTTTCCCCCTCCGCCGCCACTCTTCTCCCATCTCTCCTTCCCATGCCCACTTATCCTAATCATCCTCCTCGCCCGTCCTCTTCGTCGTCGTTGTCCTCCTCCTCCTCCTCCTCCTTCTCCTCCTCCTCCCCTCCCACCTCAGCATGAAATTCGCCGACGGCCAAAGACTTGCGCTGGAATCTCTGGTGAGAGGTTCAATGTATTTGTGCATTGCTTGCTAAGCTGCGCTCGTGCGGCGGCCCCTGGGGAACCACAGAAAAAACGTATCCCGGGAAGGTTGGGGTCTCGGATGCTGGAAATATGGGGTCGGCCTTCTGGACTTCCCAAAGGCGCCCCAGGAACGCCTCAAGGAAGCCCAAGGAACTCCACGGCGGTCCAAGAGGTCTCGAGACGGCCCAATAACGCTCCAAGACGGCCCACCATGGTCTGAAGACGACGCAGGGCGCCCCCAAGACGGCCCCAGAGGGCCCCAACAGGACCTCCAAAAGGGCAAAAAGGCACGCATCATTGGCTTCCCATTTGCTTTCTGTGATTTTCGCGCTCTTGCTCTGTCGAGCTTCCGACAGCCCAAGGCGATCCACGAGCCCCCCGAGATCGCCTCAAGATGACCCAAGAGGCCACCCAGAGGGCCCAAAGACGGCCCAAGAGGGCCGTGAGACGGTCCAAAACGCTCCCAAGACGGCCCAAGAACCCTCTAAGATAGCCTCAAGAACGGGAAGGCTACACCGTCTGCAAGCCCCCAAGAGTCAATCAGAGGCCCCCGAGACGGCCCAAGAAATCACCAAGAGGCACCCCACGGTCAACTACAAGTCCCAGGGACATTCTCAGCAAGCCTTCAGAAGGTCCCGGGAGGCCCCTAATAACCCTTCCAGAATCCTTCAGCCCAACGGGCCAGCGGCGTGTTGTCGGACTTCGACGGGATGCTCCCATAGGGAGCTTGCTCAATGACTGTTACCATCGCTCTCCACAGCAACTGCTTCTTCTCCAAAACAACTCACGCACCGCCTTGATGAAACCGCGGCCGCCAAACAGTGTCAGCGGAGTGCGCTAAGCCATTGAGTAAACTAAAAAACAAGAAAGAACAAATGTCCATCCATGGCAATTCAAGCGAGCGAGGCCACGCTTGTAACTCCCAGGGCCGCCCAAATGGCAGACGTAGTTGTCGACCCGCGACCAGCGCGGCCACGGAGCATCCCTGAATGGAGCACCACCTGGGCTTCGCACTCCCTGTTGCTATAGATCTGCTGCTGTGGTGCAGGCACTCTGTGACGTGCCCTCAGGTCCCTTCGAGCTTTCTGCGCTGGGGGTCATAAAAGCTCTCTCTTTACCAGATGAAGAACGTCCGAGGCGGCCTGAGATGCCTCCACGAGATCCCCGATAAGCCCCAATTTGACCCCATCAGGGACACAAGAGGGGAAACTCGAACTGCCATCAGACATGGTGGCGAGATGAACCACAAACCACAACGTCTGTCACAATATGAAACTGACTGTGTCCATCCGTGTATGTATGAATGGCATCGTGTACATTCGATATGTTGAAAACTGACGCCCTTTCGCGATGCATTGCTACTGTTCTGGGCCAGCTCTGGGTATTTTCCGCCATTCGTTGAATTCCAGATGCTTCTCCGCCCTCTTACTCATTCTTTCCTCCATCCTCTTTCCTTCGGCTTACTTTCTCGCTCCACGCGCCCTCTCGTCTTCTCCTTCCCTCTGCAGGCGGCCGTATCCGGGAAAGCCGCGGGTCGTGCGTGGTAGTGCGGAGGGTCGGGGGTTGCTTTCGCGCCCATGTGTTCTATAAGTGTGTACGCGCTTGGGGGCTGGCAAGGGGGGCGGCGTCGCAACACAGCTGGCGCATTGAGCAACATTGTGCAATGAGCATGAGGAAGGGTATGTGAGCGCACCTGCAGCCAGATGACTGCTGAGACGTCGCTCAATACTGTGAAGTGGATTCGCCGTCTGGAATGGCCGCCCCGTGGGTGACATCTGGGCTCGTGGAAACGCATGGGACCCCATGCTGTTTCTGGGTTCTGGTTTACCCCCCCGTTGTACCCCGCTGGTATACCTGTTCTACGATGCTGTTAAACAGATATAGCTGTAGATACCTATAGACGTATGTCTGTACACGAAGACAGAAATATACATACATGCGCGCACATATGAATAACGATGCGTGTGAGAGAACGGCCGTGGTACAATCCCATAAGGGGGGGGCCCTTAGCTACTCCCCTCCCCCTTGGACCTGCACTGTCGGAAGCCACCGCCCTCCTCTTTCTCCGCCCCTCGGAAGCTACCCCCCCAACCCCTCCCTTTCGTGCTCCAAAAGCTGCCCCACCCCCCCCTCCCTGTCCAAAGGGGAAGGCCCTTGAACCTCCCCTGCCGGAAACCCCCCTCCCTTTTGCGCTCCGGAAGCTACTAGCACCCGCATCCCCTCTCCCTGTCCAAAGGGGGGGTGGCTCAGCTACCCCCCCACCCCCCTTTCAACCGCTCCTGCTGGAAGCCCCTCCCCCTCCCCCCCTTTTGGGCTAGAGGGGGGGGGGCTTGGACGCCCAACCCCCCTGTTGGCTAAAGGAAGGAGCGCCGAAGACCCAAAGGGCACCGAAAACTGGCAGAGGGCGCCGAAGACCGAAGAAACGCCGAAAACCGAAGGGCACCGAACACCAAAACGGCGCCGAAAACCAAACATGCACCGAGAACCACATTAGCACCGAAATCCAAAGGAGAGACGGAAACTAAAGGGGCGCCGAAAACCCAAAGCGCGCTGACAACCAAAGGGGGGCCGAAAAGCAAAGAAGTGCAGAAAACCACAAGAATTCGAAAAAAGGAAAAAGGGCCGTCGAAAAACCAAAGGCACTGAACACCGAACGATCGCCGAAAACCAAAAAGGCGCCGAAAACAAAGAAAGGCTTCAAAAAACAGCGGGGCGCCGAAAACCAAAGAGACGTCGAAAGCCAAAGGTAAGCAATAATCAAAATGACAACGAAAACCAAAAGGACACCGAAAACCAAAGGGGCACCGCAAACCAAGAGGGCGCCGAAAACCAAAGGGGCGCCGACCACCCAAGGGGCGCCGAAAACCAATAAAAACACCGAAAACCCAAGGGGCGCCGAAAACTAACGATGCGCCGAAAACCAAAACGCCGACGAAAAAACAAAGTGGCGCCGATGACCACCAAAAAGGCGTCGAAAACAAAAGGGGCGCCGAAGACAACAGAAGCTCCGCAGATGGACAGGGCGCCGAAAAAAGACCGCCGAAAACCAAAGGGGCGCTGAAAAACGCAGGAACGCCGAAAACCACAGGGGCGCCGAAAACCAAAGAGGCGCTGAAAACGAAAGGGGCGCCGAAAACCAAACCGGCGCCGAAAGCACACAGGGCACCCAAAAACCAGAGACACGCCGATAGCCAAAAGGGCGTCGACAACCGAAGGGCGCCAACAAACGGCGCGCAGATAGTCGGAGGCCTCCCCAAACCAAAGAGGCGCCGAAAACCAAAGAGCGCCGAAAACCAAAAAGCCGCCGATAACTATATGGCGCCGAAAACCAAAAGGGTGCCGAAAACCACAAGGGCGCAGCAAACCAGAGAAGCGCCAGAACCCAAGAGGGCGCCGAAAACCAACGATGCGCCGAACACCTAAAAAGGGCTTGCAGAAAACCACAAAAGGCGTCAAACACCAAAGGAGCGTCGAAAACCACATGAGCGCCGAAAACCAAAGGAGCGCCGAAAACCAAAGGAGCGCCGAAAACCAAGGAAGCGCCAACGGCCCGAAGGGCGCCGAAAACCAAAGATACGCCGAAAACCCTCAAAAATACCAACATCTCAAGTATGCCGCAAACCAACGGGGCGCCGAAAACAAACAAAGAAAAGTAGCTTCGAAACCTCCCTTCTGCCAGGGCCCTCCCGCTGGAACAGCCAACAGAATGAGGGGAGTGGAAGGGTAGCTTCCGAAGCCCCACCCCCCCTTGGAAAGGGGCCAGGCCCCGAAAAGAAGGGGGATGGTAGCTTCCAAGCAGCCCAACCCCCCTTTAGCCAGAGACCCCCCAGCTACAACATCCAAACAAAAGGAAGGGGGATGGGGTAGCTTCGAAGCCCCTCCCCTTTGAAAGGGGAGCCCGGGCTGACCCCGAGCCCCGACAAGGAGGGGAGGGGGGGGGCTTCTATAGTTAGACACCCCCCCAAAAAAGGGGGGAGGGAGGGGGGGAGCTTCGGACCCCCCTTTTCCAAGGAGGGGTGGGGTAGCTTGAAACTGGGGCCCCCCTTCTAGTGAGACGTGTGCCACGTGTGCCACGAGCGCGCTCTTTCACACGTATGGAGGTATTGTATAAATATAATGTGCCCCTGGGCTTCGAAGCGGCTTAGGAATCTGTCCAACGTATCAAGTGCTCCTCCGCTAAGAGTGTGCTCCCAGACTGCGGACACGATCGCCCCCACCGAAGTTGCCAGTCTCCCCTGTCCAAGCTTGGGGCTGCGCGCAGACAGCCCCCAGAGACAGCCCTGGCTGGCCTCCACAAGCCTCCGTTCGCCCCCTGTAACCGCCGCCCCCGTTGCCCCTCTTCACCCCCTGACCCCCCCCACCCACACTTCCCACCTCCGCCTCCGCCTCACCCATTCGCTCCCGCTCCCACTTTTCCTGCCCCCCTCTGCCCCTCCACCCTTCTGGTTAATCACGCACTGCCTTCATGCCCCCTTTCTGCTACATTTGCCAGTGGACTTGCAAGAGGTGGACAAGATCGTCCCTGGGGCACCCCTTTGATTGTTTCTGTATGTGAATCCACGTTGCCCGACGATGTCACCGTCCCCGATGAGCAAGAACTTTCCAGCCTCTCCAGGCGGCGGTCGGGTTGCCCCCCCTCCCCCCGCGACGCTGCGCACCACCTCAGTATCCTCACTACTATCGTGGACAATCCTTCTTTGCGCGACCGCCTGAGCTGTCCAATGGCCACTATATTCCTGTTCATACCATGATCTTGTCATTGGAAGCCACTGCTAATGCTGATCCCCGTCCTGATACGCTTGAAACGTACGGATGATACACCACAGTGAAACATTACACAACCGCACGAGTGACCCAACACGCATGCAACACACATCATCGACATCCCCAAAACCAATTTCAACCAACGTGCCCAAACCAAGTTCAACCAAAGTACCCCACTACTGGGAAAACTCGCGAGGTTGAGAAGAGCGGAACAACGAACTCAATCACGTACCTCGGACATCGGCCTTCCAGTGCTCCTGTCTGAACGTGCATGTTGGACAGCCAGTGTGAGCGCAGAGGTACAGCGTTCGACGCCAGCGGCGCTCGGGAACGCGAACGTGACGAACGCGTATGTCTGGGGGCCCTTCTCGGGCTGTGGGTCTGGCCTACGGCTAGGATTTGCTGCTTAGCATGTCGCGGCGGCGGCCGTAGCGACACGCTGTGCCATGCACCCGGATAGCGTCTCGCTGCGCACCGCGGGGCAAAAGCCTCGAAAGGCTCGGGCCGTCGACGTCTGAGGAGAGGGACGCGGCTAGCAGCGGTTAGCGTGTTGCGCCGAAGCGTGGTGGCACAGGATCGGCGGCGCGACACACTAAGCCAAACTTGCTGTCCGCAACCTGGTTTACACTGCTGTCCTACATGCGCACACACATCATGCCATGAACAAAAACGGATGCTGTGGGTGTAGCGGTCGCATGCGCATGCGTGTCACTAGTTGTTTCACGTATCCGCCACCGTGCTATGCCCAAGGTCACTAAGAGTCTTCAGGAGCGACTGCACTCACTGCTCGCGAAGCCCCAGGCCCCTAATCGACGTGTATCCCATTTCTGCCAACTGAGTGTTCGGGTCGGAATCTTCAAACTCGACGTTGGGGCCCGAACCTCGAGCTGACTCACATCGAGCGTCTCCGCCCAGCTCGCCCGAACACGGGTCGGCAACGTCCGAAAACGTATCGGCGACGTCTGTGTCATTGTCGGATCCGCTCCTGCTTCGTTCCTCCTGCGTCGGTGCCAAGAACAAGGATGCACGACAAGATAGAGATACAATCATTCACGACGCGAGGGGGTTTGGGTCTGGTAAGGCTTCGGGTTGCGCGCAGACGTCTCGCCCAGGCAATGCCGGCGGGCGGGCGGTCTCAACACCCCAACCCTGGGGCGCGGAGCGCCCCAGGGGCGGCGCCAGAGGCGGCGCCAGGGTGTCAAGGGCGCCCCAGACTACTCGGGGGGTCTGTTGAGGCCAGCTGGGACTACCTGTGGGGGCCAAATGTGTGCAAGCCGAAACTTCAGAGTGCGAACGCGGCCGCTGGAAACCGTCGCAAGAAACCTGACTCTGGAAACCCGCGCGCGAGATGCAAGTGGCAACCCAAAGGCACCCTGAATGCAGCAGCTTCTTGAGACCCGCGGGAAGTCACCGCGCAGCCCGCGCGGCGAAGAAACCCAGGACACCCTGACCAAAAGCGTTTCTTGATGCGCAACCGAATCGGGCGTCGCTTACGGGGGGGGGAGAAAAGGGTACATTTTTCGGGCCCTACAAGGCTGTTTTGGGGCCCTGAAGGGCCCTTTTAGAGGCCCTGAAGTCTCTCCGTTCTGCAGCCCTCGCTGCCCACCCCATTTATCGCCCACCACTTCACGACGCCCAACCGACGCCTCATCATTTGGGCCCGGGGCGGGCTGCGGCGGAGAGCGCAAGGCGGCTCCGCGCCTCCGTCGCGATGCCAAGGTCGGGGGGGCCTTGAGCCCGGCGCGGCCGCGCGCGGGGAGGACGCGCGCGGCCGGAGGCCTGGGCTCCGTGGGCCGTCTCGGGTCGGTGTTCCGACCCGAAGCGGCGTCCTGGATAGCATGTGCGGGAGCTTCAGCCAGCCTGGTAAGCGTCCTGTCTAGCATCTTCGGACGCTCCGGCCAGCCAAGGAAGCGCCCTGGCAGGTGATTTCGGGCGCTCTAGCCAGCCCAGCAAGGGCGGGGGGCCCGCGGCTCGTTCCGTGGCCTCGGCAAGCACCCAGAAGCGGGGAGAGAGAGAAAGAGAGAGAGAGAGAGAGAGAGAGAGAAGGAGAGAGACAGAGAAAGAGAGAGAGCGAGAGGCAGAGGGAAATGTATATGTAGACATATATATATATATATAAATATAAGCATTGCTATAGATGTATACGCACATGTGTATGTATATGCATGTATACATGTAGAGAGGGGGGTACTCTTTTTTACAAACGCAGAAGAAGCCCTGTGGCACGGAGGGGAGGGAAGGGGGGCGGAGGGCGGGGGAGGGGGGGGTCCAGGGGACGCGCGCCCGAGCGCGACGCCGTGAATTCGCGAATTAATCTGGCGCCCCAGGCCGCTCGGCAAGGCACTCACGCAGAGCGACCCGCCACTTGGCGTCGGCGCCCCCTGCGCGCGCCGCCGGAAGCAGCAGGAGCGCGGCTGCCCGCGGCGGCAGGACTGGGACGCGCTCGCCACAGGGGCGGCTCGCGAGGACGCCTCACCGCGGGGCCCAGCAGCCGCAGCGCAGGCAGGCGACCCAGCTGGGCCCCTGCGAGGCCACGTGCGCGCGCCACGCGCCTCCGGCGAAAAGCGCCTGCGCCTCTGCGGCCCCTCTCCGCCGCAGCGCGGGAGCCGCTGCGCGGCCCTGGCCGCGGGGGGGATACGTACATACACTCGTACACACATTTATATCTACAAACATAAATACACATTTACATGCGCACATACAAAACAACCTGTACACACATACCTGCATGCACACATACGTACATACCTCCATATATACACACGTACATACATTCGTACACGCATGCATACATGCACATACAGGCATACACGTATATGCACAAGCATGGATACCTATATTCATCTGTGCAGGCAGACATGCATCCATACATACATACATGCATACATGCATACATACATACATGCACATAAACACTCGCTTACACACATACACAACATATATACATACACACGTGCACACATACGCATACACATAGTCAAACACACACGCAGACCTACACACATACATACGAACGTGCATCCACACCCATACACATACATACATTCACCCATCCATGCGTACATACATACATACATCTGCACACATACATACATATGTACGTACATACACCTATACCTACATGCGTGCATCCGTACGTATGCACGTATGTATGTGCATATATGCATGCAACACACATGCATATATACATACATGCATGCATGCGTACATGCACCCTCACATTCATGTGTATGTATATATATATGTGTGCATACACACATACCTACCTGCCTGTCTGCCTACCTACCTACGTACATACATACTACAAACACGCATACATAGCTCAGACATAAACCTATACATTAAGCAGGAAGCGAGAGATGCAGAGGCATAAGCAGAGACAAACACAGATGGAGTCAGAGAAAGAGAGAGAGAGAGAGAGAGAGAGAAACCGAGAGAGAGAGAGAGAGAGAGAAAGCGAGAGCGAGAAAGAGATATATTCTCATACGCACCTCTCCGAGGGAGTAGAGCTCAGAGGCGATTAATGCGCACGCGTTCGCGATTTTTCTGGCCGTTTCGCTCGGGACATCCTCGAAATTCTGAAAATCGGTGGCACCCCTCACGCAGATCGTGACGTCAGGGTCCAAACACACATGGGAATTTCAACCTTTTAACATAAAACCTTCAAAAACACATGGTAATTTCAATACTTTTGACCCCGATTCTCAGATAATGGCGATTTCGCATGAAAAATCCTCCCAACATCGAGCCCCAGACCCCTCCTCGGAGCCTCCTGGGGGCCTCCTGGAACCTCCTGGGGCCTCCTGGGGCTTTCTGGACCTTCTGGTACCCCAGACCCCGCCTCGGAGCATCCTGGAGTTCTCCTGGGCCTGCTGAGGCCGCCTGGGGCCTCCTGGGGCCTCCTGGGGCTTCAGAACTACATGCACACACAGAGACACAAATCACGCCCAACACATCACACGCTAGACAAACATAACATACACACACAACACCGACAACACACAAAAAGCACGCACCACACAAAGCACACATCACACACACAACACTCACAATCCTGGGGCCTCCTGGAGCCTCTTCTGGTATCCAAGTCGGGCCTCCTGAGGCTACCTGGGGGGCCCTGGTACACACATCGCAAGGTGTGGCAACCCCACTTGCGCTCGAGTGCGACTTCGCTGTTGCATGTCACTCCTGCTTCAAACGCCCCTTCAGCTTGTTGTATGAGCCTGGGCACACACGTGCCACTTATATATATATATATAAGCATATATATATATATATGAAGAGAAAGAGAGAAAGAGAGAGAGAGAGAGAACACACGCACGTCACAGGACTGGCGTGGGCAATCCAGCATCTCTGGAACGAGGGGCATGTGAGGTAGCACCCACGGGCATGAGGAAACGTAGTGAAGACAAGGGGGAGGAGGACGGCAAAGAGGAGGACGAGGACGATGATGATGATGATCATGGGGAGGACGAGGGAGGAGGAGGAGGATGAAGAGGAACATGAGGAATCGGAATCGCCAACTTTGTTTGGAAGCGCCGCCCTTGGCAATCAGACCCTGTCTGTGGCGACCCGCACACAAGTTCCTGAAAGTAGGAGCGCCATGGAAGCGCATCGCGCAAGAACTGCTTGCCAACATTCCCCTGCAAGGACAACGACATCGGAAGGGGGGCTGCCTCACATACGACGTCGGGAACTGACCCAGGTCAGAAACCATGGGCTCGCTGCTACTAAGGGTAACTGGTGGCCCTCACCAGCCAGTCGCGCCAGCGAGCCAACGACGCGACGCGAAGGCATGGGACCGAAGGGCAAGCCCTGGGATCATGGCACAGCAATTTTTTGGCACCGGGCGATTTCAATCTATTTCGGGCCACGAGACCCTCGCGAACCGACCTAGCTCGAACCGCAAAAAAACAAGGTAGAGGGCTCGAATCGGATTCGTACGATGTTGCATTTTTCCCAACCATCCTGTGGTGTTGGGTCCTCGTTTTGAAGAGACGGCGCCCCGCGTTCTCCTCTTCCTCCCGCTTCCTTCCCCCTCCCTCTCCTCTGTCCTCCCTGCGATTCACCCACCCACTACAGCGCTTCGTGGCCCCATAGGGAACTCCACCGAAGGCCCCAGTGGCACCGCCCGCATGCGTCAGCAACCACCCAACAAAGCGATTCGTGACCTCGAGGGGTCTCCACCGAATGCCCAAGTGGCACCGCCCGCATGCGTCAGCCACCACCCAGCACAGCGCTTCGTGGCTTAGGGAGCTCCACCGAAGGTCTTAGTGGGATCGCCCGCATGCGTCAGCCATCTCCCAGCACATCGCTTCGTGGCCCCATAGGGGGCTCCACCGACGGCCCCACTGGCACCGCCCGCATGCGTCAGCCACCACCCAGCACAGCGTTCCGTGGCCCCATCGGGAGCTCCAACCGAAGGTCCCAGTGGGACCGCCCGCATGTGTCCGCCACCATCCAACACAGCGCTTCGTGACCCCAGAGAGAGCTCCACAGAAGGTCCCAATGGCACCGTTCGCATGCGTCAGCCATTACTCATTACATCGTTTCGTGGGCCCATAGGGAGCTTCACCGAAGGCCCCAGCGGCACCGCCCGCATGCGTCGGCCACCACTCAGTACAGCGTTATACTGCGTTTCGTGGCCCCAGAGGGAGCTCCACAGAAGGTCCGAGTGGCACCGCCCGCATGCGTCAACCACTACCCACTGCATCGCTTCGTGGGCCCAAAGGGAGCTCCACCGACGGCCCCACTGGCACCGCCCGCATGCGTCAGCCACCACCCACTACAGCGTTTCGTGGCCCCATAGGGAGCTCCAACGAAGGTCCCAGTGGAACCGCCCGCATGCGTCAGCCACTACCCAGTATAGCGCTTCGTGGCCCCATAGGGAGCTCCACCGAAGGCCCCAGTGGCACCGCCCGCACCACCCAACACAACGTTGCGTGGGTCCATAAGGAGCTCCACCGAAGGCCCCAGTGGCACCGCCCGCATGCGCCAGCCACCACCCGGCACAGCGCTCCGTGGCCCCATAGGAGGGCTTCACCAAAGGCCCCAGTGACACCGCCCGCATGCGTCAGCCACCACCCACTACAGCGCTTCGTGATCACATAGCCCCATAGGGAGCTCCAACCCAAGGTCTCAGTGTGACCGCCCGCATGCGTCAGCCACCACCCACTACAGCGTTTCGTGGCCCCATGGGGAACTCCACCGATGGTCCCAGTGGCAGCGCCCGCATGCGTCAGCCACAACCCAATAATTACATTGTTTTCGTGGCCCCGTAGGGAGCTCCACACAGTGGCACCGCCCGCATGCGTCGTCCACCACCCAGTACTGCATCTCGCGGCCCCAGTGATTGGGAGCTCCACAGAAGGTCCCAGTGGCACCGCCCGCATGCGTCCCCCCAACTGGTACAGCGTTTCGTGGCCCCGTAGGGAGCTCCAGCGGCACCGCCGGCATGCCTCCGCTTTACCGGGTACAGCGTTTCGTGGCCCCATAGGGAGCTCCAGTGGCACCGCCCGCATGCGTCCCCCCCTCGGCTCCATAGGGAGCTCCACCGAAGGCCCCAGTGGCACCGCCCGCATGCGTCGGCCACCACTCAGTACAGCGTTTCGTTGCCCCGCGGGAAGCTCTACAGAAAAACCCCAGTGGCACCGCCCGCATGCGTCTCCCACACCTATTACGGCACGTCCCTCACGCGTTTCGTGGCCCCATAGGGAGCTCCACGGAAAGC